TAAATTTTCAGTAATGAAGGCTACGAAATTATGCAGAACCTGGGAAGCTTTTCGTAGCTGGTGCTCTTCTCATCCCAGGGGAGAACAGACATGCCTACTGTCATTTCCCAGACACCTAGGAAGGAAACAGCAGGCTGCACAAGTCCACACTATTTATACTTAAATTTCTACTACTACATTCAAAGTGATATAAATGTGGATTTGTCATGGGGGGAGAGTTTTTCTACGTGAACCTCCTGAGCCTCTGCCAGGGATGTTCCCATCTACTTGCTACCTCTGCTTCACTTCGTAGCAGAAGTGAAACAGGAATCTTCTTTCCAATATTCCCTTCCATCCCCCACAAGGCAAAAAAGTCTTGCACTTCCTGTCCATAAAAAAACCAAATCTGTAGTCCTCCTGATACATACCTAAGCTGGAAGACCATGACTGCAAATATAAAAGTCTCCACCAGTATTAGGCTCCCAAAATTGTTTGTGGTTTGGCTTGTTCAACCCCCCAGAACTGAAGCATAACAAAGGACTTCAAACTTCCCCATCCAATCACACTTCAGTGAAGACTCTTCCTCACTTTAATGCTACAGGGGACATTTTTCCTCACAGATCTGAGAAAAATGAACCTTCACCCAAAGCACAACTTCAAAACAGTCTCAGAAGATAAAGCACTTAGACCTGCTCAGATAGGACTTTCTAATTGTGCCTGGTGATACAGTGCTCGTGAATTAGATCCCCCACCATAGCTGATTCTGCAACATCAGTAAACTTTTATAAGAAATCTTTTAACTATTTCAGGAAAGAAGCGTAGATAGGGTGTTAGACAGTGTCAAACTTGATAGATTTGTGCATTTTAAAGACAAAGGGATCGATTTGTTCATCTGCTTGGCAGCCTGCACAGTTTTCCTTGTGCTTGTTCCCACTTCCTGTCTAATAAATATACTTGAAAGACATACTCAACACAGGTCTGCCTCACGTGCCCCAGCCATTTAACAATGGTTAGCCTCAGTTCCTCTGCAATATTTTTTTCTGTTGAATGACCCATCATCCAAATTACCCCCTGAACCACAAAACCAGCTTGATCTTGATCAGGCTGACAGTGGTCACAGCTGGAAGAAAATAAGTATGTGTTTGTTCCTACTGTTCAGCCCTCTCTCTGTTTACAGGTAGACCGGACTCCCCACCCACAGTTCAAATAAAGAGCTAAGTAGGTTCCCTTATGGTAACTAAGTAAGATACCTTCTGGTATCCTCCCAGTCATAAAACAGGTCTCCCTGTGATGAACTGCCCAGAATTAATATATCCCTGCAGCAGAAGCCTTTTGCTAGTGCTCTTTGAACTACAATGGAACATCTGTTGACAATCTCCCGCAGGGTAACTTCTCCCCTCCCCTATTTTAATCCTCTGTCTCCTTCAGAAGTACACATCAGTTGCCACAGGATGACTCTCACAAGCATTAGAGTGTTTCCTTTCACACTGGTCTATCTTGGAGCTGTAGGAAGAGGGATGACCTGTCAGCCCTGTTCAGTGTTTTCTTTAAAATTTGCTGTTATGTCCAAACTCCTGCAAGTTTTGATGCTAAATTGCAGGTTCTGCTTGGAACAAGACAAGGTTCATGGGTTCTGAAACATGCCTTTCAGACAGATTTAGACACTCATTTGATTCTGACTGAGAAGGGTTTCGCTGGGGACAACTGCAAAATTAGCACAGGTTTCCTTTGTGCTAATCCTGGCTATGCCTTCTGACAACACCAGCAAATCAAGACACGGACATGATCGTTGTTTCAGTTTTCCTTCTGATAATCTTGGGGGCAGGATGAGAAATTCTGCCTACTTTTTAAAAAGGATCTCAGTATTTGTAGGTGGAAGGCTATGTTTTTGGTGGAAGGAACTGTGTACAGTACTATTTGTGGCTGTCTAGCAGAAAGGGAACCTGTTTTCTCAAAGGCCTTAGAGAAGCACTGGGAAAAGAGCTCCCTTTATTTTACAGAGTCTAATCTGGTGGCCCACACTGAGAGACAGGGAATTGGTCACTCACATCCTGCTCAGTCTATTTCATGGATGCTCCAAGTCACTTTGCAGCTCACTTTCAGTGGGATCTAAGCCACTCGAGCAGGCTTTTACACCCTTCCCGTGATCTGCCAAGGGCTGCTCACACATTCAGATCCGCTCCAAGAAGCGGAGTTGAACTCTGGGAAGCCACAGTCCATGCAACTGAATGAGATGGAGTTCACAGGAGCAGCCTCTGCCACTGTGTCCTGTCTTGATCTGTGCTCAAGCCTCCGCTTGATGAGTCCTGCTGCTACTCTCAGTGTCACCAGACTCTGCTTTTAAAACCAGTCCTAACTGAGCTCTGCTGGACTCTCCTCACAGCATCCCTGACTCTGTGCCACATCCCAAAGTCCTTTGTATTGACTGAGAAGCAGGGAGCAAAGGGAATGCCTCAGAGCTATCTCCTGCACTATCCCACCTGCTAAACTACAAAGCCTCCAGCATCAAATAGTCTGTTGTCCTCTTTCCCCACAGTCTTAAGGCTTTCTGAAGTCAGTGTCATTCATTGATCTCTTCCCTTCTCCTCCACCAGACAGCAGTTCTAAAATTAGGTTATCTCAGAGCCAAATGGAATAAAAAAAATTCAAACCACATTAGGAAATTTCACAAGGCCCTTTTTTTTGTCACTGTGGCACTCTATTCTCATAAAACAAACCAGCAGCCTCCCCTTTATGGTCCTCATGGAACTTTCTGTTCAAATAACAAAATTTCTCAGCCTGTTTTGTGCCACACAAGAGGAAGCAATTTACCAGCACTTGTCAAGTCAGCTGCTCCATAATGGGTCTTGTCAGACAGGGTAAATCTATGGTGAGTCTATATCTGTTCTGTTCTTGCTGTACATAGTTTCCCTAAAAGGCACAATCTAAGCCCAGCTACACATCCCAGAGCTTTAGCTAGCTAACAGTTTAAACAATATCCACCATAACCCAAAACTTACAGTATATTTGGGGGGAAAAAAAACCAACCAAACAAAAAAAGAACAAACCATTTGAAGGCATTAGTTGAGACAACATACTAAATTCTCTCACTTTGTTCAGGTCCACCAAGTGAGAGCTCAGAAGATGTGAGAGGGCTGAAACAAAGGACCACAGCCAGGAATTCTCTGACTCCCATTGCAGCCAGGCACCACAGCATGTCTCCCTGTGCAAGCCAGATGGCAACTGCAAAAGCTGATTGACACATCACAAATCAGGCCCTGCATCAGTGGTGTCCCCCTGTCACCTGAGGTGGAAGAACAGAACACACAGCACGGTGCTGTGGGGGTATAAGGTGTAGGTCTAAGCAAGGGGGCAGCCAACAGTTCAGGACTCAGGTAGAGTGTGGGACAGGGCAGGTCTGTGAATGATTCATCAAAATGGCTGCGTCCCTTCCTTGAGCTGCCTTCCTTGGGTCAGCCCCACACCTCACAGCTTCCAGGTCTGGGAAATCCAGATAACAAACAAGTCAAGAAGAAGAGTTTGCTCACCTCGGGAAGACAATATCCTTTCCACCTTTTAGTTGTTCCTGACAGTAAAGAGTGCATCTTTTAGTTAATATTAAAGGTCAGGCAGCTAGCTCTAGTTCAGGCAGGCTGTCAGGTCACTGCTGAGATCATCCACTCCACCCATTTCTAGTCACTTCTCCAGCACTGCTTTCCTCCAGCTCAAAACACAGCATTGGAGATATTTGTGCATTCTACACCAAAAGACCAAAGAATTAGCCTTCCCCAGACTTCTTACCCCATATGCCAAACCTAAGAACAAACAGCAGCCTCTGTCTAGCCCCTCCAGCACTGCTGGTTCAGTGTGGTCTGCAATCTGTGTCAAACTCTATTAAAAAACATCCTGATTTATCTCCTACTGAAACAGAAATACCAACAAGCATCCACGCAAGCTACATTAAGTTCAAATAAAAATAGGTGCCCATGTAAGTGAATCATGGTTCCAAGTATGGCAGCAAGCTGCCAGCACAGCTGCCGGGTGCCTCTACTGTAATATTGGCCAGGGCTTCTGATGCTACTAGGACATAAATATTTACTCCTAATAACTGCAGGTAATACTATAGCAACAGGTAACTAGCTGCTTATTGTTAAATGAGGGGGTTTGCTTGAGCATTTGGTCAGTAAGGCTCTATTGATGTGCCTCAGAATAAATGTTAGAGAAAAAACTTAACCCCTTGATGGGAATTGCAGGCTCATTAGACATTGCCCGAACAGCAACCTGACATGTCAGGACTGCATCTATAAAGCAGTTAATTGTAGCAGGTTTGCTAGTAAAGCCTGAATCAGCAGGATTAGTAAATTGGAAAAACAGAACACAGGGCAGTTTAACATGCCTTACAGCCTCCATTCACAAGAATCTTAAGCATCTTACTCAAGTAGGGCATGAATTTTTTTCTTTTAAAGGAACATTAGCCCTTTGTTCCTGATTTCTTTTAATGCTAAGTGTTAATGCAAACACAAAGTTGTTTTATATCCCAAAAGCAAGGCATAAATCCAAAAGGATAAAGAGGCTGAGAAAGGAACTTTCTTTAAGTAAGCAATTTTCACCTTCTCACTGGCTGTGTGTCAGCACCAAAACAAAAACAGAGCCACATTAAAAAATGGTATCTTGGCACTGTCAGAGGAAGTGATAAGTATCATAATTGGCCCTCACATGCAGCTTTTCATTACCCTGACACTGCACGGAGAGGGAGGATGAAAGAGCAGACAGGCACACACATGTTACCTCTGTCCTGGCATAGCAATGCTGCTCTCAGAGCAAAGTTTTAACTCTGGCCCAAGTGCTAGGCCACTGCTCCAGACTGGACTGCCTTCCTGCCTTTAGGTGCCTAATACTCAGTAAAATTGGGCACAGCAAGTGCCTCTCATCAGCATCACCTCTGGAATGCCCTGAAGAGTAAAGCTCTGTCACCCACATTGCTGTGGAAAACCCTGCCAGGTTCTTTAGATCCTGAGGGTGCAGGATTCAGCCACACTTACCTTCAGGCACCTTGATCTCTGCGGCCCTGGAAAGCTCATCGGAGGTGAAGCCTCTGAGGTGGAAACCTCACCCAAAGATGGAGAAAACCACTCTGCCTCTCTCAGCAAGTTCTTGCTTCTTTCTAAAAGAAATTAGGCAAACAGCAGATTAGGCCAAAAGTTCAAGGATGGACTTGCTGAGCCTAAACCTCCACTGTCTGCCTTTTGTGACACCTGCTACCTCATGAAGAAACTGCTGCTATTCCAATTTAATAGCATTTTCTTATTCTTGCATAGGTATGGGCAGTGGCACAAGGCAGCAGAAAACAGGTCCATGACAGGAAAGCAAACACGTTGGCAAAGATGTTCAGGGACTGTATTTCACCCGTCTTTGACACCAACAGCTCCAACCAGCTCCACATTATGGAGGTTTAAAACACAAAGAATCAGCCACCTCATTTCTGCTCAAAGCCACAGCCACAATGCAAAACCCTTCCCATGCAGAGGTCAGCTCGTGTTGTAAAGGCACAACAGGACACCTGACCTAACCAAAGAGAGGCTGGAATACCATGTCCCAGAGTGTTAATAAAATTGGAGTAACTGGGAAATTGTTCCTATGATCTCTGTCTTTCTTTGCAGGTGCCATGGATGGCACTTTCTTCCAGAACAGACTTTTCACTTGATTCTTCAGGTCAGAGACTGTAGATCTGCTAGAAGGATAACACTGACAGTCCCTTAAGCTTAGCAATGCCTACTGGAACAGTTACTGGGGGTGGGGATGGGGTGGGAACTACTTTGATGGGACTTCCAACAAAATCATACCTAGAAGCAGCTCTGCTGAGCAATTCAGCTGTGTTTTCAGAGATGAACAGTCTGGCAGCAGAATCTCTGCCTCCCCACTTAGCCCTGTTCATATTGTTCTCTCATTGTGAGCACAATTGTGCCAGCACAATTTTTTTTCCTGCAGCAGCACTGTGAAACACACCACTTCAGGGGAAAAAAAAACAAACAACAAAAACCCCAAACAATGACGCACTTGTTAGAACCAGCTCGGCTCCCTGATCGGATTTACAGTACAGCCAACAACTGCAGTGGCAGAAATTCAGGAGGCAATGTGCTGTGAGGCCAGGGCAGGATAAAGCAGAGGGCTTGGAACATTTTAAGCTGATGTTGACAGAACAGACAACATATCCGAGCTTAACAACAGGTGGGAGAGTGACATAATAAGGGAAGGCATTAGGCTTTTATAGAAAGAAATAGGGAATTGATATTTAATTACAGGAGAACTGCAATGAAGTTCCATTATTGAAAACATCTCACCAATTTGATACAATATTTTTTAATCAAAGAAAAGCTAATAATAGAGCTACATTGACCTCCAGACTCAGTGTTAATCGGTGCTTCCCCGCTGATAAAAGCAGACATTTATATGCTAATGGTCAAGGGCTAGAAAGATCAGAAAAATAAACAAGGAATTAAGATGTCCTTTAACTCCATTTCAGTTAACAAATTGCCATGAGTCTTCAAACCATTTGTGAGAGTCTCAGGTTCCAACATAATGTGGAGCAAAAGTTCTTTAAAAGGGACAGAAAAAGGTTTCAAGAGCTGTGGATGGAAAACAGAAGGAAAATCCCTTCTGTTATAACCAGTACAGTGTTGTGTTTTGGTGATATTTATTTAATGTTGTGGAGAACACTGAGAACTAATGATTCTTTTTGTATAAATGCTTCATGATGACACCCAACCACGCTGTAGCCCATCATCATTAGCCTGAGGGAGATGAATGAGAGTGTTGTGTTTTTCCTAATAATAAAAAAAACCAAACCACAAAACCATACCTGGGACACAGACACCTCACGGAGACATGGCTGCCTTCCCCCAGGGAAGAGATACATATTCTCTGGATGCTGTTTTCCTGTAGCACAAAGCTGTTTGGGGAAGCAAATGCTGGCAACAGTGACATGAATCCTCTGCTAGACCTGTGATAGTTCTGACATCTGGCAGCTGTCTGAGGACAGCTGGGGTTGGACAGAGGATACAATTAAACGGAGTCAAAAACATCTAAGGATCCTCGGTGAGGAAGCTGAGCTGTCACTCATTTCTCTCCAGGCAGCAGGCCAGAACCCTTGGGTAGGAGTGGGGGGAGAGCAAGGGCCAAGCTGGGGGGGTTTGAGGCACAAACGAAGCTAGTTCCCACCAGCCAAGCACAGTGAGAAAGGAAAAAGAGGGATGAAAGAATTAGAGTAAGCTCTTATTCTATAGAGTAAGCTCTATAAGGCAATTCAAAGAGCACCTCTTCTTGGAGGCACTGATTATTATGTCCAGTCATCACAGCAAAATGCAAGTACTGTCCAACTAGCAATGAGGGAGAGCATGTGGAGCCCTGACAGAGGGCTTGGGTAGAAGACAGCAATACTCCTGATGAAACAAGGCAGATGAGATGGCTCAGGGAAGTCATGAGCTAACTCAGACCCTGCCAGCTCAGCGCCAAGGACAGCTGGGAAGGGAACAGCAGGTACCCATTGTCAATGCCAACATGGAATGAGCTGGAGATGCTAACCCTCAGGATACAAATGTCTCGGTAACAGAGGCTGCCACTTAGAATCATAGAATATTCTGAGCTGGAAGGGACCCACAGGGATCATCGAGTCCAACTCCTGGCTTTGCACAGGACAACCCCAAAATCCCCCATGTGTCTGAAAGCATTGTCCAAACGAACCTCGTCAGGTTTGGTGCTGTGACCCTTTCCCTGGGTAGCCTGCTCACCCCCTTCAGGAGCTGCCTCAGAAGGACTAAACACCTTTCCTGCACTTTGCCAGAGGTCATTTCCAGGAGAGGGCAGACTTTTAAGTCATACCTGCTTCAAGCTTTGCCAGTTCAGGATTTAAACAGACGACCTCACCTCACAAAGCTGGCAAATCTCCTACCTTCTGCATCAGTAAAGCCACAGCCATACTACCCGTGCTCCACAAGACAAATACTCTATCCACAGGCAGGTACCAAGGAGACAGCTGGCAAAAGAGAACGGCAAGATGAGAGATCAGTCCCCAGCGTCTCTGAGCTTGCCAGTCCACCGCCTGTGAAAGCAATCTGCCACAGGAGCTGTCCTGCAGAGCTCTGAGCAGCCACCAGCCAGCAGCACCCTCCTGTGACACACTCCTGCAGCTCCCAGGCAGCTGCCTTGTCCCTGCTCTCATGTAACACGCACACAGGGCTGGGCATCCCCCGAATTCCCTGAAGGTCTGTCCCCTCTACCTGACGTGGCCAAGCCTCTGCTGGGTGCTCCACGCTTCCATCCTGAGTTTGTGTAAACTCTAAGGTTGTTCTTTGGAAGGCTGTGCTTTGTGGCTGCTCAGCAGATCTAGCACCTGAGAAAGAGAGGACAACCCCTTCCAAGCATTTTCCAGAGGTAACCTCTGATCCAGCACATTAAACCTTACAGGAAAATCTCAGGACAACAGAGAAAAAGTAGGGAGCTGGACGGAGATCTTTCTGCCCTCCCACCCCAAAGGGCATGGATACAATAAGGAAAAGCTCTTGGGGTTCTAGAAGATATAAGGGGACTCCACAAAGCAAGAAATTCGCATTTCTGAAGGGATTCTGTCGCTAAGGACTTGCAGATTTGGCGTCCTGGCACTTCAGTAAACTCAAGACTTCAGGCTGGATGGAGAGCGTTGCACAAGAACTGTAAAAGATTATGTTAAGCTGCTATACCGATTAGGGTAAGGAGATCCAAACTCGAGCCTTGGTCTCAATGTGGTAAATGCATTGGTAGGAACAGGGAAGCTGCAAGGAACACAGGCTTTCGCATGGAGAAGGAGAAAGGATTGCGAGCACAGCCGCCTCGCTAACTATTTTAGTGAGCAGTACCCACCCACAAGGGCAGGCGGGACTCTCCAACAGCGTGTGGGGACACAAAAATATGCACAACCCCGGGCGGGGAAAACGTGCCCTGAGCAGAGGGAACCGCCCTCAGCCCGCGCTGTCTGGGATGGCCGAGCATGCTGGGACATGGAGTCCCCGCCGGGCGGGCCAATGCTGGGGGAGAGGGCGTCGCGCACTACAACTCCCAGTGTGCATTGCGCGGCGCCTCGTCTCCCTGGAGACGAGGCGGGAGGGCGCGCGTTGGGGGGGGGGTCCCGTCCCGGCGGAACTACCGCTCCCGTGGTGCCCCGCGCGGCATGGAGCGGCGCGTGGCGGAGCGGCTGCGGGGCGCGCTCGGCCCGCTCGGCCTCGAGCCGCACGCGTTCAAGGTAATGACGTCACCGCGGCGGCACCGTGACGTCACTGAGGCGGCGTCACTGCTCCCGGGGCCTGAGGGAGAGCGGGGCCGGCCGGGGGGTGGGTCACGGGGGGGCGGTGACCCCGGGAGGTCGGGGCGCCCTTCGGCCGACCCGGTGCTGGGGGTGCCCCGGGAGCCGCTGCTGCCGGCGCGGGAGGCGCGGTCAGGCCGCCCGGTGCCGCAGGGCGCGGTGACTGCCGTGCCCCGGCCCCGCGCGGTGCGCAGGGCCCTGCGGCGGGTCCCTGACCGGCGGGCACCGGAGAGTTGCGCAATGAGGCATCGGGGCAGAGTCCTACGGGCAGGTTTAAATTTTAATCTGAGCGTAGAAGCGCCTGTACACTGAAGGGCTGAGCACCTCATCCGCTCGTAAATGGGCTGCGGACACTGCTGTCCATGGAAGGGGCCTCTCCCCACTGCCACTGCCCCCTGTGTCCAGCTGCTCCTCCTCAGGGGCAGTCTGCAAAAAATCGATCTGCAATAAATCAATCTGCAATAAATCAATCTTCAATATCACATACAGATTAATCTGCAATATCCAGTAAGAATCGATCCGCAATAAATGTAGCCCTTCCCATGGGGAGTGTTGTTGTATTTGCCACCCGAAGTGTTTGCTTGTCCTGCTGTATTGTTCACATAAGAAGTAAAAGGGAGTGAGGTGCTGAGAGAGGTGGCGTCTCCAGAATTTGGAGAATTTAATGCTGCTTTCCCAAAGCACAGCAGCAGAATTAGGGGTGGAACCCAGATAAAAAGACTGTCGCCGCCAGAGGGAAACCTTTTAGCCCTGCAGCTTGCTCTAGATTTCACTGTGACAGAGCCAGCCCTGGTGCACTGATTGACACTGGGAAAACAGCAAACCTTAGATTCACATCTCTCTAATTTCTTATGACAATTCAATTCAGCGTCCTAAACAAGAGGCACAAAACTGATTAAACCTTGGGTTGACAGAAGGATGCATCTTTAGAGTAAACTTAGTTTTCACTCTGTGTTTCCAGATGGGCAGGTCTGGCTGCCACTGTCACCTGTAAAGTCACTTTCAGATTTATTTCACTGATATTTAGAGTAATCAGTGCATTGCATGTTCAGGCTTAATGTTACTTTACTGGGCATCTCTCTGAATGTTAGACCTGACCTTTATGGCCCCCTGGGAGAACGGGAGTTGTCATAACCTGTAAAGAGACTGATGTTACTGTGCAGGGCATCAGTAGTGGGGTGCATGGGGTTTTGGCCATTCCACCTGACAGTTGCAGGTCTGAGCCCTGTCCTGGTCATGCTTCCCGCTGCCCTGGCTTGATCCCTCATTTCTAGACTTTGTAACACATCCAGCCCTGGAAACAAATATCAAAATGTGGCTGTGTCACTCCACGGGGTGGAGCTGAGGGTTTTGGGGGGGGGGGTCTAGCACTGCCGGGAGGTTCACATCCTTCATTTCCACACAAGTGTTTCCCGCTGAAGAAATAAAACATGCAGCTTATCATATGAGCAAAACAGAAGTACCAGTTTCTTTCTGGCCCATGATAAGAAAAAACAAACTGTAAAAGCTTTATCTAAACCAAACCATCTGATTTGCATTGGCAAGACCTGATTGCTCATACTTCCCTCTAGGTTTCTGAGCAGAGCTGGATAAAGGGCAGACTGGAGCTGAATGCAGTGCCTGGTTCTTATCTCACACACAGCTCACAGCACAGCTTCCAGAAACTCTGAATCCTGGGGTGCAAATCAACTGAGTTTGAAAAGAAGGCCCTGAGCTGGCTGCCTTATCTGGGTTGCAAATGAAGGGGGGGCTACACTTCCACTTTTTTACATTCCTGCATGTTCCACTAGAGTGGTGTCCCTGTTCTAATGGAAATTTGTGTTTCTTTGCCCAAAGGTTGGATGGTACAATGCTGTTGTCCAGCCAGCCTTTCATCTCCCCTACCCAGAAGACACACTGGCCTTCGTGATCCTCAGCACGCCTTCAATGTTTGACAAGGCCCTTAAACCTTTTGTGAAGAAAGAACGATCGAAAATAATCAGGGATCCCGTGGATCAGTGTATTTCCTATCATTTATCACGTGTGAAGGAGGTAAGAAGCCGAAATACCAATTCCTTTTACTTTTATGGCATAAAACCAAGTGGGTTCAGCAGCAGACAGAGCCTTGCAGGTCCCTGCCTGTGCTCTTTGGAAGGGTGAAGTGTGATTCATGAAGGTAATAAGAGCATCAGCAGCCTGGTGACCTGCATATTCTGTCTCTGCCATCACAGCCTGCAGCTGTGCAGGGACCTTCACAGCCTGGGCTGATGTTTTCCAATTTTCCCAGAAATTCCCTGACCAGAGGGTGGATGTCATGTTTGATTATGAGATCCTGCCGAGCCGAAAGCCCAAGTTCTTGGCACAGACAGCTGCCCACGTTGCTGGAGCTGCATATTACTACCAAAGGAAGGATGTGAAGCATGATCCATGGGGGAAAAAGGTGAGGCGAAAACACAGCCTGGGAAGAACCACTAAACTGCAATCACTGAATTGTGCAACTGTTGTTTACTCACTAGTTACTAGTTCTCCTTGAAGGAAATTACAAAGTCCAGATCACATAAAGGTGCATAAAGTATTTCATGTGGGAATTGGAAGCTTCCAAGATCCTTCAGGGTGGTGGGGAAATGCGTACACGGAGAGAAATATCTTGATGTCTTAAACCTACGCAGAAGAATAAATTGCAGTGCAAAGGCAAACCTGTTGCTTGGAGCATTATAAGTGGGGAAAAAAT